TGTCCGTCTGTCTGTATATACGCAAACTAGTCCCTCACTTTTTGCAATATCGATCTGAAATTTGACACCTGTCCTTTCCTATCTAAGAAATTGGTCATTTATCGGAACAGCCGATATCGGACCACTATACTAAACTTAACAATCGGAATCACGTGCTTGTATATTTATTATATTTGACGAACAAGCAATATGCAAACGATGGTTTTAACGGTTCAGAGATAATAATTTTGATATGAGATATGAAGAACGTGGAAGATCACCAAAAATGTTTGAAGACGCCAAGCTGCAAGCAATTACCACCGAGCTACTACTTACTGAAGGATTCAATGATGCAATCATTCTTGACTAAAACACTTTGAATGCCTGGAAGATTGGTGTTGTCAAAGTAGCAACAATTTTGATTCTTAAGACTTATTTGAGCAAAGACCATGAAATCTCCTTTAAATGTCTCGATTTTGGAATCACACAATTGTAAATTTGTTGAGAAAATATAAAAGTAATCCATTTGTATATTTGTGAGTTTGTATATCGAGCGACCTATTATTAAATTGCCTGCTGACATATTTTCATTGCTTTACAACCATTGTTATGACATCAAACGCGCAAAACTCGTTGGCAAATATTATTCATAACATGTCATTATCGTCTATGAAGATTCTGTTTATTTTATAAGAACTTAGCAACACACTCTGCAGACATATCACTAAACCCAGCGCTACTTTGCATTTACTGATTTTGCACACAAGAACACTTTTTGACTCTAGAAAATATCATCAAAGTGGAAAACGTATCTAAGTGTAGCAGAATTTTCAAGAAATATGTTCTAGTTCTCTAACACTCTGAATTTATAATTTTTAAGTTCAATATTTAAATTGAATAACAGATGTCATCAAGGGGGTATTCAATTATCATGTTAATGATTTTTTCAGTATCATTGCCCTAATCATAATTGTCAAAAGTAAGGTATATAAAACTTGATTCCGCTTACACAGAGTTAAGGTGTATACCAAATGTGTGCCTTGCTGGAGCGTTCAATTGTCGCATATGCAATTTTTCAGTTCTTTGTCTCCACATAAATCCACCCCGCCCCAATATACATGCCACTGAGGTACGATAAAATTTTCAGCTGTATTCATTGCTTACGTTGTCTGTCTACTCACATCTTTAAACGCGTTTTTCTCGAAAAAGAATTTTTCAAATTTACTGCAATGATTACTCGGAGACAAATGATTCGAAATAATTTGTCAAATTTTTTCTGTATATGCTGTATATACTACATAGTTCTCCATACAATGATCTTCCGGTTTTTTGATTTGATTAAAAGTCGAATTTGCACAGCAAAAAAACGTCCAAAGTTTTGGGTAAAATTCAATATTTTTTGAAAACGCCGCCATTTTGTAATTTTTTTGTTTTTCCGACCGTTAATCATTGTACGGACTATATCTTCCAGCCGAGGTTTCATTTTATGCTTCAGCCGGAATGTAAAATTTTTTTTTAGCGCCGTTGATGATCGCGTATAACTCGAAAAATTTTCCTTCAAAACTTTCACTGTACATATACGGTAATAGATAGCCTTAAAATGTTAAAACAATTGATAAGGGATATTTTTTGTAATCTCCAAAACTCGCCTAAGTTAAGGCTGTTATACTAATTGTGCCATTTAATTAAAATTTTGCTCAGCAATTAAATAAAATTTAAATATCCGCCGGAAATACATTCATACTTATAAATAAATTTGATTGCACTCGCTATTTCGCGCCCTTACATGCTCTATTTACATATTGCCATTACGCTCGTTTACACTTTCAATCATTTAGCTGTGTGTGTGTAACTTTTCCCATTTGCAATGCTATATATATTTTATATTAAATTTTTTTTCTATATGCTCTCATTGCAGGCGTTGACAATACGGCACTGAAGGAGGATGGCATTCATGTGTGGCGCTTAAAACATTTCAGCAAGCCGGCATATTGTAATCTCTGCCTGAATATGTTGGTCGGCCTTGGCAAAAAGGGTCTCTGCTGTGTGTGTAAGTACAACCACTTTGACACATCTATACTATAAGCTGCTATATATATATTATAGGCTTGTATGTGTATGTTTGTTGCATGTGTCTTAGTGCATTTCCGGTTCGTGATGAAGTTCATTTTAAACGCCGGAAATTCAAATAACTCTGTAAGTGAAAAGTTAAATTGCAACTGGGTGCCTTATGGGAAGTGAGCGTTAGATGGGTATTTATTTAAATTTACATTTTCCAAATACACAACTGCAAGCACTTACGTGTATGTGTGAGTGTGTGTGTGTGTGCGTGCGTTCATGCGTTTGTTGGCGCATATTTGTTTGCACAGTCGAGTGCATTACATTTGTCGGAAATCATTCGGCACGTAAATTGCTTCAAGAAATTGATTCATGCGCATTTACATAACTCCACAAGCGAAGGAAAATAACTCAAATTTAGGCTAATGAATTTTACATCGAAGCGCATTTGCATAAGCAAAATAAGTTCGTTAGTCAAGTACAATTTGAATTAATTTCCACTATTCACCACTAACAACATGTAATTAAAACTAAATGTAGGGTAAATGTAATATAACAGTAATACAGCATTTCAGTTAAGTATTTGTTTATGTACCAATTCAGAAAATTACATTGAATAGTATTGTTATTTTAGCTAAATCAATTATTTTGCTAAATCAAGAACTATTTTGTTCAATAAATAAGGCAATTTGCTAACATTGTTCGTATCAATCATAATTGTGACTACACATTGAATTTAAGTATTTTTAGTTGGATGGTTATGATCATTTAAAATCAAGCGTCATTGTTATGCTAACTGATAATAGAGGGTGTTTTTGAAAGGTATACAATTTTTTTTGGGGAATCAAAATAAACATATTTGTTTGACATTTACCATGTGATGAAATTTTATCCGTACCAGTTCATTTAAAAATCGATAAAATGTTGTGAAACAGTTGTTTAAAGTCCTCATCAAAGAGATTACAAAGTATTCCAACAACTCTTAAGTATCGAGTCATCATATTTTGATCAATGTTTTGGTTATGAAACGTGTCAATGCTAGACTTGTACCAAAAGAACTGAATCTTGAATTTGCAAAAACCACGTCGAGTAGAGGTCGCAAAAGGTAGGGTAGACAACCAAACTGAGGACCCTATATTCATTAAACTCATCATTGCTGACAAAACTGTTCAAGAAGAAACCGAAGAAAACAAAACTTGCTGAAGGTCAAACCAGCCGAAACTAATTACAAGCGTATGAAAATTTGGATCAATTATTGCAATTTCTCAGAGCCTATTTTAACGGCGATAATAAAGTTTTGTATCAAAATACGTGAAAATGTAGCTTCTTATGACAGTCCGAGTCAAATTAGTTCAGACTGAAAATGTTATCTTCACTACGTTTGCGACAAACTTTTAGTAATCAAATCAAATCAGAGATATATAAATAGGATCCGACAGCATTATTCATAGTTGCAAAAATAATGAAAGTATTTGTAGCTCTTAACAAACTTTTAAAGTTTCTTCTTACTAATTCATTTTAAATTAAGTAATAAGCCAAACTGAAAACTAAGAAATGTTATTTTAAATGGTTACTCACGTTTCCTCCATATACCAGTTAGGAGAGCCAACAAATGTTTCATGAAATTTCGTTGATTTTAAAAGATTTAATGAAATTTTAACTAAAGACTTCCTAAACATTTTAAAGACACCATGGTTAGCAATTGGAGTCTATAGGTCTTCGAGAAAATATACAATAAATTTACGAAAAAAAGTGGGGTACTCGCTAGAAGGAATCTAAGCGATTTATAAGAACGAAGTAAGCTTTTTCATCAGTTTATTGACCGTCACAAACTACTAACGGACTTACTTCCCCAAAATAAAGACTTACGCAACCGGAACGTACTGGATTTTTATCACCGAAATCACTCTCAACCCAGAGTTTGAGAGTATTTTAAGTAATCACAACAACAACCAACGGAGTTTTGTTTTTGTTCATCTATTTTCTAATATGAAGTGTCGACATCGAAAAACATTTGGCACATAATATGTCCAGCCAAGCTGACTAGACAAATAATAATTTCCTTTGATCAATTGAAAAAATGTCTACCAATGTGTTGTTAGTTTTCTATATACTTACATATATGGCAGTCATATATGATTTTTAAACTTCTGGGAATTCTATAGAGAATTGCACAGTGAAGCAGAGTTCTCCAATACTTATCTTACAATAACATCTAAATAGAAATCTAATCTTTCTAATCTAGCTATAATTAAAAATCTCGCAAGCTCGGGTTTATATCTTTTGGCTCAAAAATCGATTACACATACTACAATCGCTTATGAAAATATTTATTTAATACTATAGCCTTTGTTTATATTCTAAACAGATTACATTAAGTTTGTCACGAACTTTGTTAATCACAGAAGAAACCGTCGAGAACCTGTACAGTATATGTATAAATGATCAGTGTGACGAGCTGAGTCGATTTAGCCATGTCCATCTGTATGTCTGTATACACGCAAACTAGTCTCTCAGCTTTTGAGATATCAATATGTGCTTTTCTCACTCAAAAGCTGTTAATTTGTCAGACTAGCCGATATTGGACCACTATACGTTAGCATGTAGATGGCATACAAACTGACTGATGCAAATCTTGTATGGAAAATTTTTGTTTGCAGAGGGTATTATAGCCGTGGTGCAAACGAAGTTAATCGTTTTTGTTTTTTAAGCAAACTTTACATATACGTATGATATTTTACTTCTGTAAAAATTTATGCTAATGTTAAAATGTGATTAAAATTGCGACTAAATACACTTGTATGTTATTATTGAATCAGGGTAAGTCGCAAGAGTTGACGAAAAATTTCGGGATCCCGATATTATTATAAGCAAGTCCCGAAATATTGGGACTTATTACATTAATTCTGAAACAATTTATTTTGTAATAAGCAAACAATAAAAGTTTTTTTTTTTAAATTAAATCTGAGAGAAGTACCCTTACGATCAAAAAATTTAAATTTTAAAATTAATTTAAAATAAATAAAAATAAACTATCTAAAACGAAAGTCTCCATAAAACGTAATATGATATAGTATAGTAACAGTAAATAGCTACTTGAAATGAAAATTTTCCAGCCAACAAAATTCTATTGCGTGCATTTGCATAAATTAGCCATTAAAGTCAATCGAATGAACTTATGTAAACGCATGTAAGTATCACATGCATACACACAAACACGCACACACACACACACACACGTTAAGTGATAGCTGAAAATACGCAAATACCCAAATGGAATAGCAAAACTTTTCGAGTTGACACGAATTTGCAATTAACAAATGTTGTTGACATGTGTTTATATTTCTCTTCTCCTCTCTGCTCTACGCAAACGCAAACGCAAATTTTTACGGACGCTGGTCTTACAACACGCTTTCGAATGCAATAAATAAAAATAAAAACAACAACACGAAATTATTATGAACGCTCATCGCTCTGCTGATGATGTCAACGGTGCTGACAACTGCTGATTATGACCAACATAATACAAAAAAAAAAAAACAACTACAACAATATGCTGCAAATACAGTATGCAAATATACGGTGCACGAACGTTGCGTGCAACGTGCACCGCCCTCCTGCATCACCACCTACGTGAAAACAAAGAAAGCCAAAGGCGGCGGCGACATGTTACACCACTGGGTCGATGGCAATTGCTACGGCCGCTGCTCCAAGTGTCGCAAACGCATTAAGGCATATCACGGCATCACCGGTTTGACGTGTCGCTGGTGCCACATGATGGTAAGTAGTAGCTATGTTGCATGTAGAAATATTAAATTTATCGTTATTGTTGCTGCTCTGAGTGATAACAATCAATTTGAAATGCATGTATAAAATGTGGGGAGAAAGCTGGGAAGCAGAAGAGATATTGAGCTGCAAGTAGTTTATGACTTTCCTTTCCTTGAACGAGCTGTACTGTTCTTAGGTGTGTTCCTTTATCCGTTAGGAAATATATATTGCAATACTTAGTCACACATACATATAAGCTGCTGAAGTTGCGTGTTAAGCCTTAAATTAGACTAGGAAAGTTAGTTTCAAGCACACATACATACAATATATGGATGAATGTATGAATAATAGATATTTTACGCACAGTTAAGTATAAGTAGCTTCACTTAATCGTCAAACATATATAAACAGAAGCACTCACATACAAACATGTACATTTGAACCTGCTAATTCAAGTACGTGCGTGCAAAAAGCTTCGTTACAGTGTATACATGGCAGTTAACTGCATCAGTGGAGCTTTAGCTTGAGTTTCAGAGTACATTATCCGTAGATATGAGTGCATATGTTTAGAAGAGGGTATATTAAGCTTTTGCGGAAAATTTTGCACCTCAGCATGTATTAGTTCTTAATAATAATGGAGGTTATTGTTTGAAAACTTAGCAGTAGTAAATAGAGTTAAGTGGTTGAAGTCAAAGCAGCTTATTACAGGATGATTTAGACATTTAAATAGACAATGTTTATTCGTTTTAGCTGCGGCAATCGGCTGGGTCTACAAAAGATCTAGAGGTCTAAATTTCTCGCTTGTGTTCCCTAAAGTCAAAAAAGCTATATAATATTTTTTAATTTTTAAAACTATGGGCCAACAATTGCTGATATATTGGTTTGTCAACAGATAATTTCATTTTTCGGCTAAATAATCATTGAACAGGGTAGTTTGTAACCTTTACTCATATTAAGTGGTTGAAAAATATCTCACAAGAAATAAACGTTTGGGACATACCCAAGATTCGTGCAAGTTCTGTTGATCGAAATTAAGTATTATATTTTGGAAAAAATATTCACCCTCATTTATATATATAATTTTGATAACATCTGATCAAATTTGACCCGGACTGACACATATTATACACAACAGTTTCACATATTTTAATACAAGTGTTATTGTTGTTGTTGTAGCTGCAGAAAACATTTCTGTAGTAATCTCGAGGAATGGTCCCGAGTTGATAGTCCTTGGCCGAATAAAAATCCGGGTCCGTTTCGGTTACTTTAGATTTAGATATTTCAGATTTAGATATTTCACTAAGCCTGAAACAGTCTTTTTGCGAAATATATATTCCGTAGAGTCTAATTGACTGAGTTTCTTTATTGACTAATGTTGAAGGGAAAGTTGAAGTAGTTAAGAATTTCTCCAGATTTTCAAATTCTTCGAATTCATGTCTAATCTATAAAAGACTATTACAACATAAATTTGATATAAATATAGGATATAGGTACGAGTCCTTCTAATTTTTTTTGGAAACCATTTCTGAGTCAAATCCAGGACTAAACTTTATCGTTTATCAGCATTTTACAAAAAATATAAAATTTCCGGAAATTCTTATCCTCCCCAAATAAATTCCGCCTATGGCACAGTCTGCATATCATTGTTGAGACATGTGTGAGCAACACATAAACAATCTACGCCTACAAAGGTTAATTACCATCGATAAGTATGCCATTTACAGATTTGTATCAAAATCGTTGCATTTGTGGGTAGTGTTTTGAGTAGTTAATTAGGATATAAGGTTTGAAATATTGCAATTTTGCACATTAAGACGTTTGATAGTAAGACAATTTAGCACTGAACAAACCAAGTGTGGTGTCTGAACAACTACAATCAATTAAATTATAGATAAGATAAATAAAAGTAAAAATTTTTGAAAGCAATTGTCACATGCAAAAACTACAGTTACAAATTTGGTATTTTTAGATGCACTCAAAGTATTTTCTTCTGGAAAAATTTAAAATCGTTACAATTTGGGAAATATTTAGGGCACTAGTATTGAAGAAAATATATTTAATAAAAATTTAATACTAAAATCTTATTTAGTGGAGTTTTGGTTTTAAAAACATACAAATCGAATTAAGGTTACTCAATAAAGAAAAAATATTTTTTAACGCAGACTTGTATCGTGATGTTGGTCAGTCAGTGTGAAAGGCAGCTACATACCATATATGCTATATTGGTCCAATCTTAACAATCGGTTGATGTACCGCTGCGTTGGGCAATATGCCATGCCAAACTTCGTAAAATTTTCTGGTCAAATAATAAAGGTTTCCATACAATAACTTGATTTTGATAGTTCAGTTTGCATGGCAGCAATATCCTATAATGGTCCGATATCGACGATTTCGAGAAATGAGCAGCTTCTTGGGGAGAAAAAAACTTGTGCAAATTTTCAGATCGATATTTCAAAAACTAAGAGTCTAGTTCGCGTAGCGAAAACGCCTCAGCTCATCACGCTGATCATTTAACACTAATTTCAAAAGGTCCATAGGATGACGCATAAATGCATAGTTGCAACAATTTCTTCCAAATGATTTTTATTTAGTACTAACCTTCAAACCATACGTGTATAAATTCGGCAGCAATCTGAGCGATGAAATAATCGCTGAGGCCTATTTTGATGAGAAAGAGAAATCGTCCTACAAATGTGGTAGCGTAAAATCGCTTTACTCGTTGTAACCTTAATATACCCTGTTCTGGGTATCTGAGTATTGTACGTTATTCAAGCTGAAAATTCGTCATACTAATATAAATATGTATGGTAAATGAATGTGAGAATACGAAACTTAGATATTTAAAAAACAGTTTGGCTCCTAAGCGTATACTAAAGATGTCAATGATGTTTAAAAAGGTATTATTACAAAATGACGTTCACATCTGATTTAAATCAAAAAAAAAAATAAGTATTAAAAAATCTATAACAGCAAAATTGGTATTATAAGATTCAAAATACTTAAGAAAACAAAATTAAATTAAATTAATTAACGATTGATTTCAAGAAAAAGTGTATAAATATTTTTATATAGTATATAGAACTCAACGAGATGAATTAAAATAATTTTAGAAAATTGTAAAAGAGTATTGTATAAAAATGTCTGCCTACAAAATTGTAGACTCAGAAAACGAAGTTTATACTTAAGTTAATACTTACAAAGCTTCCAAAACTTAAATTTAATTTTTATAGATAACAATACTTTTACATTTAGTACGAAGTAAATGCAGCACAGCTTAAATAAAGTATTTTATTCTGTTTGCTACGCACTTTGAAAACCAAGTCGATTTACCCCCCGTCCCGCAATGGCAACTCGAAATAAAATGCACAATTTTCGTGAGAATTTTCCATTTAAAATGCCATCCGGTAGTGTCTCCATAATTTTTCCATATACCCGCCACGCAGCTGTCAACTCAAGTCGTTACGCAGCACCTGTCACGTGCGCTGCACTGTGGTACGTGTACTTTGTCGCACCTTAGCTGGAGCACAAACCACTCAATGACGGTATCTTCGCTTAGCAGCGCATATTGCAGCGCTGCAGCATTTGAAGCGTAGAGCTTCCGCCACGCCAGCGCTGCACTTGCGGCATTCCCACGCTGCCAATCAAAGTCATTTGCCTTGGCTTGGTTGGGAAATTCGTTAGTCGTTTTGTGACACCTCTTTTATGTTTGCATTTGTTTATCGCATTTACATACATATTTATGCAGGAATTTGCATATGTTCACGGTATAAAAGCGCGCATGCGCTCGTTCGCAGATTTACATATGTTTGTTTATGTATATGTGAATGTATTTATGCGGCGAGCTGACGCAAGTTAACACTGCAAGCCACCATATTTTCAGCAATATATATGTATGTGTATGTGGGTGTGTGTTCCCCCAACTTTATTGACAGCAATTCGCAATTTTAATTTGACATGCAATGCTGCAACAATAATAACATACTTAACTTGCTGTGCAGTTTGCAATGTGCATTTGCATTTTCAGACCCTCTCCACTTACGCTCTAAGCTTCCCTCAGCGTCGTGTCACTTGTCTATTATATCTGTTGTCACTTGATTGCTGCTGTTTTTGTTATTTGTTTATTTTATTTGCGAAATTGCAACACTGCAGCAAAGTGAGTAAATGTTATTTTGTTGTTGTTTTTGTTTTTGTCGGGCTTATGTTAGGTATTAGCGTATGTCACGCAAATGATAATACAATAATATGGCATAAATTTAGTAATTTCAAACTGTGCAATTGCTTGTGGCGCCACTTGTGGCTTTGCTTGTTAATTGATTTACGCTTCAATTTTCTATACAGCACCCCGATAAGTGGGAAAAATGGGAAAAATTTAACATTTAGTTGGAAATTAGAAAATTCTTAAAAATTGCAGATTCATTACACTAATCTGAATATAAAATATACTTTAAATGATATATTTAAAATAATTGCACAAGTCTTATATCATACCTCTCTCTCTAAGAACAAGAATATCAGAGAGATAGCAGAGGATTGCAACATCTCTTATGAAAAGACTGAACACATTTTGGTCAATATTTTAGAAAGGAGTTTGACGCGATTAAGTTATGATCACCCCGGTTTTGGATGCGTGTTAAGACTCCTACCAAAAGACCAGAAATACAAAAAATACGGCGATTAGGGGTCACAAAAGAGTTACTTGACAGCGCAGATGAGGACCTTACATTTATCAAACGCAATATTATTGATGACGAGACGTTTATTTTTTTTTTTACGAAGAGGAAGCATCGAAATCTTGAACTTTAAACCGAGTTAAAACTATTACCGCCATGTACCGATCCCCTGGTGCCACCGTCAAGTATTACGTCGAGAAAAGGTTTGAGCACTGCTCATACGTTTCTAATGATCTGAATGCATTGAATGACAAATTGTGTTTACTTAACCTCACCTCTGTTGGTCTCTGAACCCGCCCCGTCCAATATTTACCGCCCTTCCCGTATGCTCCACTCAATTTATTATACGTTCGTTTGATCAGCGTCGCAGTGGTCCATTTAATTTTAGAGTTCTCTTCTCCTCTGCTGTTCTCGGGCTCTTTGGGTTTTCATGATTTTTGGGGTTATTTAGCACACCGTATTATACTTATCCTTGGATTTAACCACATGGTATATTAGGTATTCAGGGGTTGGGTGTATATCAAAAGCATTCTTTAGGCATCGCCTTTCTTGCTCATATTACGGACCGAGGTACAACGTATGGTCTACATTCTCAATTGTATCGTCTCCGAAACCGTGGCATATGTCATCACTCTCATATTAGAATCGTTTTAAATAAGCTTTAAAACAGCCTAACAGATAAATACCGTGTTCTGTGAGCATTTGGGTCAAGTAAAAATCTAACTCGCCATGTGGTGACTGAATGTTGGGGATCAGTCGGAATGTCCACCGTCCATTCCATCTAACTTCCCATCTATATAGAATGTGGTCAGATGCTTAAAAACCCCCCTTTTCAACCAAGCAGATCCGCTTTCGCAATGCAACGTAAATAGAGTAAGTTAGGTAAGGTTAGGTTATGTAAATCTCATACTTAAAACGTACTGCCCGATTAACGGAAAAATATAATTCATATTTCGAAATATTTGAAACTCAACAACATAAGACCGAACTTTTCGTAAGAAAATTATAAACATAAAAATTTTCAAGCGAAAAGATTCATATTTAAGATGGTTAGATGTACTGCATGAGTCCCAATGGGACAATAACCCACTCACACTATCACTAGCACTAAGAGATGAGGTCTCGTGAATTTTAACATCTGCTAGTCAACACCACTTGTCTGTTCGTGAGAGCAAAGATCGTATAACCTTATATGAAAACATGGTACTCCAATATTCACTAAGCCTCCAAATATCCTTTTACAAAGAGAGAAGCACCAATGAGATTTTGAGCTACATAGCAAATTAAGTACCCTTGATACTAAACTTAATATCTGCAACTATCGAGAGAAAAAAGATGGGATTGTCGCCTGGTAATCGAATTAGATCTCAGGTGAGGCTATCTATTCGTATGACAAGAAAATCATAATCAATGACAAGCACTTCTTTAATGATCGTTACCATCACTTCGAGTGAATTGCGGTTTGACAGTTAGTCAAAACTTTAGAGAATGGCAAAATTCCGATTGACTATATCATATTTTAAAGTTTGGTTTCTCACTTTTTAAAGCAACTAATCTGCCAAACGTGATCCCAGACTCGAAAAACGATTAATCAAAATTAATATTGTTGGTATCTTAATTATGATATAAAAGGACATTAAAATTATTTACATAAATTCGCTTTGTCTGCACTTAAATGTTACTGCTATGCAATTTATATTTTAATTTAAAAGCTGTTTCTCTACTTAGTTCGAAAATGCCTAACCACACCCGCTTGCAAGCATACAAATATTTCACACAAATATTGCAATTTAAACGAAATTAGAACAGTCTTGATGCGTACAGCACTTGTATATTTTACACTAACGAGATACTAATCTAATTAATTAGCTGAGAAATTTTGTGCCCAATATAAAAGCAATAGATCTCAAGTAATTTTAATTATTTTTTGTATGCCAGTAGAAGAAATAAATGATAAATGACAAAACTGTACTTGTTAAGAATCTCTAGTTAGCTTCTTACCCCGTCAAAATTACGCATTTGATCTTACGTGGCCATGTCTTGCTTTTCGCTCCGTCAGCGTGGATATTCTTGTGCATGTAGTTGTTTACAAACAGATAAATACCGTTATGTGTATGTGTATAAGTTTGTATAGTTATATTCAACGCTCACGTTGCAGACGACACGTGTTCAATTATTAACGCCAAAAGCGCACAGCCGATGTAAAGAAGAATGTAAAAACAAAAGCACGACGTCTTCTATAGTTAGCTCGTGCAGCTACTTAAGCGAATGTGTCACATTTCGACAGCTGGATGGAAACTTATGCTAATTTGAAAATGTCGTTAGAAATATGGTTATCTGTTATCTTTAAAGTCTTAAAATATTTTCTTTCTCAAGTCGCTTGTTTTCAATTTCGCGTCTTACGCATTTATTTTTGTTTTACTTCCACGCTTCTCGTTTGAAATCTGTGAATTATCTAATTTGCTGTTGCAATATCTATTTTTTTAGCTTCCAATCGCTGTGCCTCGTCGGTGAAAAAGAATGTACTTTAGGCGAATATGCGGATTTAATTATACCGCCAACGGCCATCTGTCCGGCGGTCTTGATCGCCAGCGCTCGGTTAATCAAGCGAATAAAGTAAGTTAATTATGGGTTAAGTTTTGTTGGTAAACATTTTTGTTTTGTGTGTATGTATTTGTCATCTTTATTATTTTTATGTTTGTAGATAATTTAGAAAAATTCCATTTTAACAATTTATTGCCCAAAGCAGTTTAATATCGATTAGTTTCATTTAATTAGTTTACTTAATTTAGTTCACTCTAATTAAATTTGATTTGGTTTTGTTTAATTTAAATTATGTTAAGTTAAGTTAAGTTTAGTTTGGTTTGGTTATGTTAAGTTAAGTCATGTTAAGTTAAGTAAAGTTATGTGAAGTTAAGTAAAGTTAGTGAAGTTAAGTTAAGTCATGTTAGTGAAGTATTATGTGAAGTCAAGTTTAGTTAAGCTGTGCTAAGTTAAGTCAAATTAATACAATCTTATTAAATTTTATTTTAAGTCAAGTAAAGTTATCTTAAATTATTTTAATTTAGTATATTACAAACACATGTGTATGGAGGTATGTACATATGTTAAATTTCTTCTTGTTTGATTTAATTAAATTAATGTTAGTAATGTTATGGTAAACTATGTTAAGTTAAGGTAAATCAATATCTTATTATTTCGTTTTATATACTTAAGTCAGCCTAAGTTAACATAAACAAATTTAATATAAAAGAAGTTATGTTAAAGAAATATCCTCCTATTAGATTTATTTTCATTGAATTGGAATTTGAATTGATTTAAGCATATTTTTGTTAGTTAACTTAACTACGTTAAAATAACTTAATTAACTTAAAAGTAAGTTAATTTAAATTAAGCTAAAATAATTATTTATATGTAATTCAATAATATCCTTAAATTTAAGTTGAGTTAATCTAAGTTAAGTAAACTTTAAAATTTTTCTAAATAAGTTTTATTTTGCGATCTTAATTATTATTAATTATTTATTAATCCAACCTACAATATTTAGCAAAAAATATATACATACATATGTACATCAATTATCAACGTATTCACCGAAACTTCACCAAATTTAAAATTAATTCATACACATTGTTTGTCTTTTCCATTCCTCTTCCCACGCAATATTTTTAATTACATTCCACCGCAAAAATATAATTGGCAACCACAAATTTCAAAAATTACTCATACGCCACCGCGTCTGTGCACTCATCATGCCTGCAAAACCACTCCAATTGGCATATCACCTAACAAATCAATCAACTAAATGTGTTCGTCCACAATTAAATGAAAAATATTAAAATATTTTTGCTTTGAAAAATTACTCCCATTATCCATAAATATATATAAATGTTTGTAAAATAATTGTTGCTAATATAAGAAATCGCAAATCAATCATCAGGCCACGCATTTTCAAATTACGCCGCCAAATGAGAGCAGCTGCCCATTATTGGTATTTGTGAATCCGAAAAGTGGCGGACGCCAAGGTGATCGTATATTGCGAAAATTTCAATATATGCTCAATCCGAGGCAGGTGTATGATCTCTCGAAAGGTGGACCGAAGGAAGGTAAGCGAGAAGTTTTAATAATAAAGTAATAAATATTAAATTTATAAACTTTTGCTCTCTTTATCAATCTTTCTTCAGGTTTAACGTTATTCAAAGACATGCCGAACTTCAAAGTAATTTGCTGTGGTGGTGACGGTACTGTTGGTTGGGTACTCGAAGCGATGGGTGAGTAAAAAATTGTTAAATTCAAAAAAATAATGAAAATTTCGTCTCTTTGTAGAGTCGAGTATTAAGTTGCACGAAAAAACAAATACACAGACTAATGACTTTTTGAGCTTTTTGAATGTTATTTTAGAGACCTGCCAGGAAGAAAAAAATTACAAACAAAGTTTTGCCAAATTTTTTTCATGCCATTTTTTTTTTATTTCTACTCCATTTACTTAGATTCCATTGAACTTGCCACGCAACCAGCCATTGGCGTCATACCATTAGGCACTGGCAACGATTTGGCGCGCTGTCTGCGTTGGGGTGGCGGCTATGAGGGTGAAAATATACCCAAGCTAATGGACAAAATTAAACGCTCATCCATTGTAATGCTGGATCGTTGGAGTATTGAGGTGACGAATGCGGCGCCTGTGGCGGAAATACTGCGACCAAAGGTGAGTGGTGAGAAAATGTGTATCAAATCGAAATAAAATGTAGCAAATTTGAGGGGAAACAAAAAATAAATATAACTACTTTTAATGGCAATATAATTAGAAAACAACTTCATAAATACCATTGGCTGTTAGCACTCAACTGTATCTCAAAATATCACTCATATGCCATGGTTGTCACACAAGCAATCACGCTTAGCACATTTTTTTGTCACCTATACTTTCCTTTTTTCTCACTTAGCTCGCACTTTTCAATGTCCTACTGACATTTTAATTGAAATCATCTTTGACTCAATCGACTTTTTTGGTGCACACTTTCACTGTGGCATCGCTCGAATCTAGCTGAAGTGATTGCTTGCCACTTGCCAAAATCCAATTAGTACAAAAGCCATTTGATCACAGCAACCAAGAACTGCACGCGTCAACTGCAATATAAGCTCTGCTTTCAATTGCTTTCGTACTTTAGTTTTCTCTTCAGCTACCTCTCTTCATGTACCTCCGCCACCTTTTTTCGCACACCTATCGTAATCGTTTTACACCCCTCAAAAGTTCGATTTAAATGCTATTACAAATATTGTTTGTGCCGTTAACCCTTTCATCTCTACTAGCATACACTCCATTCAAAAGTTTTTGTAACGCAAAGCGCAAAAACTCAAAAAAAAAAAATGTTGCAAAAATTAAATTCAATTCGATGATGCAATTCGAATGTTCTCTAGTCTCTTTCCTTTTAATATATTTTTAGTCGTTGCGTTTTATTGCATAAAGCGAGCTCCTGGCAATTTTAAGTTAATTTGTTACCATACTCATATATACAAGTGATACACCCTGTTGACCCAAAGCTTTGCCAGCAGAAGAAATAACTAGAAAATAGATTAAAATGGATTGCAAACTCAAAGCAATTATAAGCGATTGAATTTAGCTAATCTTTTTGCAATTCCGCAAAGGACAAATTCCGATTTACTTAAACGGCAAAGTGTGTAAGTGAGTGTAGAAGAGATTACTCGATTACATATAACTCATACGCCACGTGGGATTAGCTAATTCTAAGCTACTCATATGCGCTGGCAGAAAAGATAACGATTATTGGAAATATTAAGAAATAAATAGCAAGTAATAAACAAGTAGGGAAGGTCTGACTTCAGGTGCAAGCGAACCTTCAGGTGTACCAAAACTAAAAAATCCCACATGTTATATTATTTATATCTTCTTAGGTCAATGACCCTTTTGTTTTACATTTTGCCGTGGACAAAGACCCTCTTGTTTACAATTAGCCAAGTCCGCAATCTTTGTTTACATTTAGCCAAGTCAACAACCATAGGGCCATTTTATGGGGTCAATGACGATTTTGCATATAGTAGTAGTAGTCATATAAACTGACCGATCTAAAACCAGTGTGTGTCACAATCTTTTATCCATTTTAATTAAGATAACGCACACATTCGCCGATACGCCCACATTAGCCATTACAATATCTCAATTTTTATTCAGACGGACAGACAAGCATTCGGATTTTAATTCGTCTCGTCTTTCAAATAATTTATATACAAATAACTCCATATCTAACTCGATTATTTTTAGGTGATACAAACAATCGTTAGGTGAACAAAACTATTATACTCTGTGGCAACCTGTTGCAAGTGTATAAACAAAATATTCTTGGCTTATTTACAATGAATAATTTTGCGATTCCTTTTAACTTCCTTATCTCTATATCACCATTCATAATTTCCAATGCACTTCTTTCTAAGAAATCATAACTTTAATGCCAAAGGAATCGCTTAATCCAATCTAACATACATTAGTCCATCTATATGTGCCAAATCATTTTATATAAATTTATGGTTTTCAAATACCTTTTTATTTGAAATTCTTTATTATTGCTTAACAACACACTGGTGCCTGTATTTATTTATGAACAACTCGTATACTGTGCCACAAATGGTTTTTTGAGTTCCTTTCAATGCCTCACCACACTATTATGAATGCTCGCTTACATATAATCGTCTCACTCCTTCACACACAGGTCACGCTCCACTCGAATATGCAGAAAGTGATTGAGCTATCGCAGAGTGTTGTGGTCGAAAAGGCGCTTTTCGAGAAATTCGAGGAGTTCCACCGCAGCACTAGCGTTTGCACGAACATGTGCAGCAGCAGCAGCAAACAGGAGCACATGACCACAACGGCATCCACGTCATCGATGAGTTCATCGATTACCACAGCAACCGAATATGCAAACGATGCGGTTGGCGGCGGCATGCGGGGTACGAGTGTCGGCGGTGCGGGTGGTGGTATTGCGGGCAATGGTGACGGTGGTGGTAGTGGAGGTGGAGGTGGCAACGTGGGCCGCGCAACTAAAAGCATATCAATGTCGACATTCGAAACGAAGCGCACGCTCACAACACTCAGCAATAGTAGCAGCAGTTGCAGCAGTACGAGCACAATTATTAGACAACAAAAGCAGCAACAACAGCACGAGGAACAAGAGCGCCAAAGGGAACGACGTGAACGAACGCAATCAGAAGACTTGCAATCACCTGGCACACCGCAAACGCCGGAAATGGCTAAAAGCGTCCACGGCGATGCAATTGATGATGGTAGCAACAACAACAATGACAACGATAAAACGAACAATAGTGGTGTGAATCGCACCGAACACCATTCAATACACGCGCCTGCGGTGGCAACAGACATTCCAAATAATCCGGTAGCTGAGGAAAAGAGCGAAGTGGAAGCAACGGCTGCGACAGAACAATTACAGGCACCTCCTAGCGCGAAAAGCATATCAGCACCAACAGAAATGGAAAATGTTGCACTCAGCACTGCATCAAGGAAAGCGAACACTGTTACCACCACACTTGATACCACTGCCCCCATTGTACCCATTAGCAACGAGATTGAGCTCGCAGTTGCGGCAGAGGTATCGACTGCCGTTGACAGGTCGACAGTGCCAAGCACGCCATTGTCACCGACATCGCCATTACCGATCTATTCGGCATCGCCCAAATATTCTCCTACGCAATCTCCTCCCGTCGCCGTACCCGAGCCGGAAACATTAGCAGCAGATGCAGAACCTACAACACCGTCCGCATTGAATTCGTCCGGCAGTGCAGCAGCTAAAAGTCAAGCTGTTATATGTCTGCCCAAACAGATTAAGGTGCAGCCGGAAAAAGATTGCACAGTGCCATATAATATCATCAACAATTACTTCTCAGTCGGTGTGGTAAGTTTAATCTTTACAAATTATAAATGTATTTATTGAACTACGGTTAGCAGTAAAGATTTCCGGAAGGCTTAAGTGGAATGTCGGAAGCATTTTGTTTTTTTAAGCAATAGTACTACTAGATCTATATAATTTTCTGTTTTATTATAGCGATGTGTTTTCTGAGTCCCTATAAGAGATCTTATGAATTTACTGATCACTGAGATCCCTTCGGATATGTGTGGTATTATGAGCTTGCTGCACAATGTACATTCGAAAAATTTTGCGGTTCCCGGACAGGTAATGTCTTACATCCAAAGACTCCAAATAACATATTTAAACAATTAAGTCAAGTGTCAATTTTTAGGTTAGAATTATTCTTCTTGGTGTGAAAACATTATGGGATTATTATGAATTTCTGAGCATTGAGCTTGCTCTCTTTCAAATAGACATATTGCGATCTTTGAAATGAAACAGGCAACCACTATTCAAGACCATTGAACTACACTTCCAATCACTATATAATTTGAAACTCTTTCATCACAAATTAGCAGGTACTGCGAATTTTATATTCTTCATCAAATTAATAGCTGTCAAACTACTTTATAATGCGTGTAAATAAATCACACTCTTATTGGGGTTCCCCGCAATTCATTTAAGAGTATTTATGATAACCGCAAATAAATCTTTCAAGCTTAAACCCTTTAATCCACTATTTTTTTTAGTCATTTAATGCACTCAACGTTGGAAAAATACTACAAATTTCCGCTTGATTATACAGGGTGCATTTTTGCTAGAAATTGAATGCCTTCTAGTTGCCAGTGACATTTCTCGCATGTAGGGTAAAAAAATTCAAACCCCACAATATCTATTTAAAAATATAGATATACATATTAATAACAGTACTTTACATATGTATGTGCTATACTCGCAAGCATTGCCAACTTGTCACTATAAATATTACGGCGAGATAAACCCTAACGGCTTGTCCTTTTCCCATGATTTAAACGCGTTGTCACTATGCTATGAAACCTTACAGCAGACAGCACAATTGTCGACCGACTAAAGGCCGACCGTATTTATTTCTCAACAATTTACGCCAAAGCCACTAATCCCACCGACTTTTTAGTGCTTCTCCATTACTTGCTTTCATTTCAGTTTGTTTATTTTTATGTGCCCTCCATGTTTTTTTTCATTTTATGTGAGAGTTTCTACGTCGCCATTACTTTCACTTTCACTAAGCGGATTTATTAGCTTTTCTCGCTGTTGTGCTGTTTGTTATCCCTCTCGCTTGAAATGCTCAAAGATGAAAGACTATGGTGGCGGTGTGTATTATTGTTAAGGATTTAGGTGAAAATTTTTAATAGAAATTAAGAGAGATTATAGGATGAAATTGGATATTCGATGGAGACATACTTTAGAGTAATAATAAAGTTAATAAAAGGGAATATTTACAGTTAAATTTCCTTCGATTAAACAGCCAAAAAAACTTTTAATATGTTCGTACTAAAGCTAACATATTTTCTTTAAAAACAAAACTCGAGACATGTCAGTGCTCAAAAACTTGGTCCTACATATCCATTATAGTGTATTTACCAAAGAATTTGTTAAGAAAGTAGCTAATATTCATCTGCACCAATTTGGAAACAGTTTATATTATTTTTTCAGATTAACTATAAAGTACTTTCTAAAAGCAACTTTATGAAATCTATCATGGTCATAGAATCTAAGAGCCCTGAATTTTATCTATACAACAAATTTTAGAATTTAACCTTTGTGGGAGCTTACTTTATACCAAAAGAATGTCTCTAAATATTTTTTAAGAACATGGAATTATAGCACCATCTAATTCTGACTCCTCAGTGGAGATTTCCTATTATTGTGTCGTACGTTTGATTTTCAAATTTTAATATAATACTCCGGTAAAGCGTAAGACGGATGGAATGTGAAATATTTCAAGATTTCTGCAAAAAATGCGCCGACGAATATCAGAATCTAATCAATTGAGATTAACCAAGATTGGTTTAAATCTTCATATCTAACTCAGAGAGCACTCTACAGCCACTGATAAAAACTTAACCAATATTTGGCATCTAAATTATTATGATCAAATGATTAATCGCATCCCCGTTTATTGATTAATAATCCTATTCAAAGTTCTTCGCAGCGCTACAACTAAAATTAATTAATTTATGCCACAAAGAAATATGTTGCAAGCGTACACAACATCTGCTAACTATGCATTGTTATGATTATGCTTGTAAGTCTTAATTGTCAAGCTTGTCATGCCACACTGAGACCGCCAGCGTTGCCTTGAAGTCACTTTTAATACTGTAGTTACTGTTATTGTTATTAGTGTTGCCTTCATTCGGTCATATTTTATATTGTCATATCGTCTTTTATTGGACAAAATAAACTTACTGTATTATGATTATTATTAATATAATAATTATGATTAACAACGCCGCGCCAAAATGCATACAGACAGACAAATATACACATGCGTATTCAAGCGGTCGCACACAACTTCGTGATGAGCTTTAATAACAAGCCCTTATAATTGCAATTGTGTTGGTGGCGTTTTAAGCAGAAGACTTCATTAAATGCCTTCATTAGATTAAACTTCTTGGCATGCGCTACACCTTCATGCCAACACGCTCATATAGTTCTATATATAAGTATGTACATATGTAGATGGTCTCGTACAATTTAATTTAATTCTTGTCAGCGCACAATTGCATACTTTTCTGCGCCGCTGCTATAATACAAACTACACCTCTTTTACTTTGGGTTTTTTTCTTAGGCGCCTAAGTTGAGGTAAGACGTTTATTAATAAGAGCGTACTCGGTAATTTAGGAGTGACGCGTAATACCATGGAAAAAAGATTTACCTTTACTTGCAGTAGCAATAATTAAAAATGAGTGCTAACTGTAATTTAAAATATTTTTAACTGTTAAGAATGCAATTAGTTCTAAAATTAAAAATATTTTGTTGAAGTTAACGTCTAAACGAGTGTTTTAAATTTATATGAATTATTAAATCTAAATATTAAATTATTTTATTAAATAGTAATTCCTTACTAAATACAATAGTTAAATTTTTAACTAATGAAGATAACCAATGGCATATAAAAGCCTTGATATTAGCTTTTGCTAATACTTGTATGGCATGTGGCCAGTGACTGATGTTTTATGACAGATGAGTGATGGACTATTTTTCTATAAGAACTTTACAAAAAAATTATATGAGGCAAGAGGATAATTAAAAAAATGGAACCAGAAACAGAATTCTTAATTCATAATTCGTAGTTCATAATTTATAACCCGTAATTCATAATTCATAATAGTGATATACATAATTAATAATTACATTTTTCTATCGAGTATAGGCTTCATTGTATGATCAAAATTGACCGGGACTGACAAAAAATCTATATTTTCATATGAAAGTATTTATTATTGCTTTCATAATAGGCTCCTTAGCCAATACATGCCAACGTTTCTTCCAAACTTCCATACAAATGCTATAAGTCCCAGCTGGGGATTCCTCCTCATTTTTGGAGCGCCATTCGCTAGATTTTTGGACAGTTTCGACGTCATATTCATAAACCCAAGTCTCGTCAGCAGTAGTAATAATAATGTAGGGTCCATAACTATGATCTCATGCATCTCTTTTGCGACCTCTACTCGACGTCATTTTTCCAAAAGATTCAGATCTTTTAGTAAGAGTTTATTGGTGGTTATACTTGGCATATGGAACGAATTACTGTTTTCATATTTCATAACTGAGACAGCTGTAGAAAAGATATGATGTCACAAATGTTAAGCAGTAAGCTTGTAGGCCTTAAGTACAATATTTATTAAAAAACTGTCATAGCATTCGTATAATGCTTAGTGCATCTTGTAAGTGTTCACAGAACACATTAAAAAATATTTTCATAAATTC